TGGGGTGGGGTGGGGTGGTGGGAGCCTGGGGTTGACCCCCAGCCTGTGTGCCAGTCTGATGGAGGACAGGAGCCAGGAGCCATCCAGTGCTCTTACAAACTTCTCTCACAGACCCTCCTCCTCTGGAAGCCAGCCCAGGAGCCTCGCAGCAGAGGAAGCTGGTAAGGGACCTCAGCCTTCTCTACACTCCCAGCATCCTCTGCAGGCGAGGGCAGGCAAAGATTATTGCTCCTGGAAGCAGGCAAGCCAGGTTCTATTGCTGTGTGACCTAGGCTGTATTCACAACCCTCTCTGGGCCTTTTCCTCCTTATTTGTAAAATGGGCGTAACAATTTTCATTTTATAGATTCAGGGCAGGGTAAAATGGGAAAAGCTTTGACAACACTCAGAAAAATGGAGGTAACAAGGCTTCCAGAGCCCCACATCTCCTGCCTTGCTTCCTTCTCAGCCACTCCTCTGCTGTTCCCCATTTCTCCAAGCCCTGGAGACACGACTCAGGCATCGCGTATGCTTGGGGCCACCGCAGCAGCTAACAGCTGGCAGGGCAGGGCGTAGGTGAGCTGAGCTCAAAGCAGGAAGTTTGCTTAGAGGGCAGACGTGGAGTGGCCCTCATGCCACCCACTAGGCCAGCTGGGCCCACCCAGCGCCAAGTCTCCACGCAGGGTGGCCATACTGCACACTCTGGGGGAGGTTTCCGGTGTTCAGAGGTGTGTGGGGCAGGCTGCCCCTATGGCCCCAGGCACAGGAACCTCCCCTGAGCTGGGCTCAGCACCCTGGAGCCTGGCCAGGCACCAGCTCCTCGGTCCTCAGCTGAGTCCTGCAATCGTAGCAGGGAAAGGGGAGGGGACGGGATGAAATGCTACTTGCCCAGCACTTAGTCCCTCTAATCTATTTCACATTCCTGACAACCCTGGGTGACAGCATCCCTCAGCCACTTTGCAGATAAGTGAAAGTTACACACCAACCAGGTGGCAAAGCCCCAGCTCTGTAGGATTACAAAGCTCAAGCCAACTCCACCCATCAAACCTCTCCCCACTCAGCCCCTAATCTCGTCACACCTCAGCTTTTTCATCTGTAAAATTGGCCTAATTCTCACACTTACCTCACAAGCTGCTCCACTTACGAGCAGTTGAGTCTCAAATCAGTTAGGGGGCATAACATCCATTGTAAACTATAAAGCACAGTAGCAGCAGCAAGAGATAACGTGGCACAAACTTTACAGTGTACGCACTTCCCCATCTGTCATCTCACCTGAGCCTAACAACAATCCTAGGGAGAAGGTCTGTCACCCCCAGCTGACAGATGAGGAATTAGACATGGCTCAGAGAGTCCAAGTAACATGCGCAAGGACACACAGTTTATCAAAGAAAGAGCAGAGACTGAAATGCTCGTGTCTGAATAG